ATATAATATATTTAATTTAATATAATAATATATTATAATATAATAATATAATAATAATTATATTTATAATAATAAATAATATAAATAATAATATAAATAATAAATAATAAATAATTATATTTATAATAATAAATAATATAATAATAATTTAATATAATAATTAATAATTATAAAATAATATATAATTTAATATTTATATAATAATTTATATATTATATTTAATTATATTTAATTATATTTAAAGATTGATATAAAATGCCTATGCTTATTCTTCAAATCGTTGGGTGTAGTATAGAATTTGCCTATGCTTATTCTTCAAATCGTTGGGTGTAGTATAGATTTTCATTGGCTCATTGCAGCGATTAAGTTTGTGCGTCGTTGTTTGGTTTGTTCCACAGTTTTTTTTCAAGAATTTTCCTATCCATGTATTCTGTATTCGCATTACTTCTACATCTATAATTACCTATGCGATCGATTTGTGAAATCTTGGATCATCGTTTAATTAGAATATGTGTTCGAGATTCAGAGAATCTCTGGAATGTTATCATTTGGGGAAAAATCCCAACGGCTATTATTTCAAGGAAATTATTCAACGGTTATCATTTCGGGAAAGTTATTCAACGGTCATAACTTCTAAGAAAATTCTCCAACGGTCGTTGGAGGTTCGGAAAAGTCGATACATTCGAAATGATACACGCGCACAATCACTTCCCTTGTTCTTCGCACCATAGTCACACCCATTGTTTCTAGCGCAATGATCAGCCCTTTGTTGTCAGCTTAAGTCATAATATATAAATATTTAGGACAAGCGCACCACGAGGCGCATTTAGTAGATTTTCAGTCATTGAATCAGTCAGTTCTATCTCCTTCTTATAATACAAGTCATCCACACGGAACAGTTGGGATAGAAAAACATTCATCACAGAACAGGCCAAGACTACTGTATATCTGTGAGTAAACCAAGTTTAAAAATAAATCATTGTTAATCCTTACAAGATTAGCATGACTCTATCATTACATAGCATACCACACACTCACTAATAAGGAGTGTGCCCACTCAGTTGTTGATTCTTACAAAATCAATAACAATTTATCATCATCAAGGAGCATCCTATGTAGATAACTGATTCACCACAGGATTAGTTCGAAGCAACTGTAACGACGTGATTGAATATAGTGTATATCGTTCCATCATATAATTTCAACACATGAATAATGTAATTGTAAATAAACCTTAATAAACCATATTTATCGAAGAAGCACACAATGAACTCTCCAGCTCCTTCCACTTAACGCCTTCCCGAGCACCGGCTATGGCTTGCGGTAAATTAAAGTCATCGAAACATTGACAGTTCGAGCCAGAAAATAAAACAGTTTCGAACAATACGTATTATACTTTTATTTTTTCACTAGCCACTTGATTACATATAATTTTCTAATAAAGCTGACTTAAAATCCGTAATTTTATAGTGCGCAATTGCAAGATTTTATAGATATATACTTGAATGCCGAAAATAACTTCGCACTTAAGGTTCCAATTACAAAAAAGCTGACGACTATCGTTACATGGTTCACCGTCAACACTGTGCATGATTTAACGCGGAAAAGCATCAACCATGGTATAGATCTAGCTTCTACGATCGTCACATCAATCATTGTTCTTATTAGCGGAGAACGCGAATTGAATACTCACAAATACCCACTTGATTGCATTGAAGGCACTTGATTCAAAATAAAAATGTTACAGGACACGTAATTTATAAATGAAACTATTATAAATAAATAAGCTCATATTGGCACAAAGAAATAGTTAAAGTATTAAAATTAAATTAAGTTTTTATATACTTACAAATAGACGAATGAATGAATTGAAAAACTGAAAGTTTATTGGAAAGCGGCTGTTATCTCTCTTTTTTTAAATTATTTATATAGGTTATTGATAAAATTTTATTCTTATATAAGCGATTAATATTAATGAAATAATAAAATTAATTATAAATACACGCTTTCCCACATTTCCAGGACACTCAATTATCTTATAATCCTAATGTGCGATTATGTTACGATTACAGATTCATAGATACAAATGACACGATAAATTATAAAT